ACCTCGCAGTTTCTCCAGGGTGTTTTATCACGTCAGAAGTGATCCATCCCTCTCGTTATGTTTTGAGCCGGATATGCCTTGTTTCCTCCTGTTCACATGGTGATTCTTACCAGTACCAGTGTGATCCCCTGATTCCCTTCGTTCAAAAAAGAAACCCATTTCTTCTTGTTCCAGTTCCGTAGATTTTCAATCATTCCCACAAACCAAAAGGAGCACAAATACAGGATGTATTCCGAGAAGTCTCGCAAAAACTCTATGTTATCGCCGTTTCCACTCATTAAGTACAACGGTAGGATGTGTGAGGACGACAATGCTTGCGAAGGCTGATGGAACTGGTCTCAGCGATCGAAACGAACCGGGTGGCATCAACATACCAGTAAATCGCCTTCTGCTGCTTTTGAGTTCTCAAGAATGGAATTTCAAGGTGAAATGAAATGACCATTGGTACGATATTGATGTGACTGACGAAAGGCGGCCGCCAAAAAGACGTCGTCATTACCACCTGATTAGGGTCATCAAGTTCATGCGCGCGTAAGAGAGTCTAATGATTTTCTCCTCGTAAAGAACTAGTAGAAGAAGAAGAAGACCTTCGCGAGTGTGTGCGCCGTGGAATGGCAATTTCAGTTCGGCCAAACGCGTAGAGGTCGTCCACCTCTTGTCGTCATCATTGCCATCGCCGAGGAAATTATCGCGACCACAAATTCAGCATGTGCTAAATTCTCTTGGCAATGGACGGTTTTATGTCGCTCACTAGATTTAACGCAAAAAAACTGTGGGAGAGCTCAACAAGGGGATTCAAATCCAAGAAGAAATATGTAAATAAGATCTTGCTTACTATAAAGCGCTCCGTCTGTCGTCTGTCGTCTGTCACGAAATTCCCTAGTGCGCGCAACGCGTTCTGTGCCAACTGGTAAACAAACAAATAAATAAACTAAAATAAACATATACGTCCATGTATATGGTAGTTTAGCGAATAATCACTCATTTACATGTCCAGAACCGAGATGATTAAGTGGAAAGTGGTACCCCTTACCAGGCGCACAGTACGACGGTCAAAACCAGCGTCGAACCTTTGCTCAGGCAACCAACCTTGCTTCCCTAACCATAAGGGATCAGTCAGTTGATAACACTCTTTGGAGGGATAAAGGCTGACACGAACACTAGCCGAGATACGGTAGTCACTGTTGTCGGGTGTGGTTCACTAGGACAGAAAGCGACTTTTGAAACGCGAAAAACAAATTGCATTCAAAAAGATTTTTCCTGGAGGGAAACCTCAGGTCTTTAACCGCTTATCATGGAGTGAACGTAACGACTTTCCTGGCCAGCGGAAAAAAGTTTTCGCAGCGCGAAGCGCGAAAAAGTCGCTTTGCTGTCCTAGTGAACCACACCCACTGTTTGTCTATGTGGGCTAAATTGCATTGAAATATTAATCACGATCATGACAGGAACCACTATAGCCGCTCATGACGCCCAAAAACTACAAGGTCGGATCATGTCTTCTGCAGTTCGGTTTGCGATAAGATACAATGATGACTCCACGAAACAATGACGATCGCGCGATCGAAAAGTATGATCCAGCCCTTATGCTTACCGGTTCGGCTGCGCACGCATTCGCGTGCATCGGGCGGTACTGCACTAGTATAAAACGGAGCCACCGATACTTCATAATCCTTCCAGACCAACTTCGCCCACCTCAGCGCCGCACCACCCACCAACAGCACTTGTGCTTTTATGCTTTATCTGTAAGATCTCGAGTGACTGACCGACGTTGACCAACAATTTCTATCCGCGCGCAAGCAATCGACTCTGGCTCAAGTTGTAGAGAGATTTGAAATGCGTACCGACCGCAGACAATGGCTAGATTGAGATTATCGCTTTCCAAGACACATTCCACCTCCTCTGAAAATGACTAGTCATCGCCAAGGATAAACAGGGGAAATAGTCTGGGTGCTGTGTATTCTTTTTGTGCCACACAGGTTTTGTACGATGGAATCTTTATTGGGCTTGACGTTTCGACTAGCTCGTCGTTATCAAAAGCCTTGACTCCACCAGCGTCACCGCTTCTGGATCAACAGCTTCCCTTGATGGTCTGGCCTCCCAAAATAAAATATTTTATTTTCTGTCTTAAAATAAAAAATTTTATTTTACTGTCTCTGGAGACCATCAAGGGAAGCTGTTGATCCAGAAGCGGTGACGCTGGTGGAGTCAAGGCTTTTGATAACGACGAGCTAGTCGAAACGTCAAGCCCAATAAAGATTCCATCGTACAAAACCTGTGTGGCACAAAAAGATTACACAACTGTTTAAAAACCAAATGCCCAGGTTTCAAGAAAGGCGGACTTGGAGAAAGTCTGGGTAGTATTCGATCTCATGCATGTGGCGGCACTGTAATTACCGCTGTCTCAATTGAGCCGTTACCTCTTCAGACTGTAAAACTGGAAAATGGTCGACTCACCATCAAGCTATTAAACTAAAGCGATTCGGATGAGAATCAAAGAATTGGTATTTAAACTACATCCACCAGTGCTAAAAGGCCAGAGCTCGTGAAGCATCGGTCCGCAATAGTTGAGATAGCGTATTGCTGGGTTCTGGATATGCCGCGTTTTACCCAGCGGGCACGAATGGCTATGTGCGCCATTGAAGCGATCAGTTCTAAAAATGAGGACTGAGGGCGACTCGGTCGAATGCAAAATGGATAATGGTAGCATAGAAGGGTAACTCAGGAAAACCTCAGCTGATGCACGGAGTGAAGGTATGCCCTATCATCTCATTTAACAACAACTGATCAACCTGTTTTATCGCTTATCCCTGAAAGGAGAGGCCGTCCCAAAGGGGGTACCCCCTGTTGGGCGCTCCTGACGTGGTGTGTCACTTCCTCACGAAAATTCATGCTTGCGCAGCTTTGGAATGCTGGAACAATCTTTTGCGAGGGCAGTCGGACGGTGTGTTGAGCGAGGACGATGAGATGCTTTGGATGCCAGCTCCGAGGTACGGGCAGTGTGAGCATAAAAATCCGGGTTTGTTGGTCGAGAGGAGAGCGTCTTGCAGGCTCACACACAAAATTGTGGAACTGGCCGTACAAAAGTGCACTAAAGCGATGGGAACTTTCAGGGATGGTGGTGGATTGCCACGGACTATGGAAATGTGTACGGGCCTTATTACTACTTCCTCCCCGAAAATTCAAACGTTGTGAGGAAACGAAGCGCAAGGAGCGTGGACTAAGCACATGCTCGTCGCCACCGATTATATCATGCACAACTTTCTAGCTAGAGCGTTAACTCAATTTATGATGTAAAGCAAGTAATAACAAGTTACGGAGCGTTCGCATTAGCATTGGTGTATCGACAGAAAAAAAAGATTTACAGATGTATACACTTCTGGTAGAACAGCCGCAGAGCGTCACTTGGCGATAGAGTATGCCGTGCGATACCCACAGAGTCTCATTCTGACCATACACGAGGAACCGTGAAATTTATACGCTAAGAAAGTTGGACCACTGAATTGTCTAGAAAAGAAACTGCAGCTGTGGGTTCGCAAAACCAGAAAGAAGGCCATCCACTACAGGGGAGTTAGCAGTTGTTGGCAAAACTCAAAAAACTCCTACCTTGCGGGAACCATGTAAGAAATGACAATTTCTTTCCACATTACTGATACTCTTTTGAAATTAGCTGAGGTCACCATGGCTCTGGGATATTGTTCCAGTTATGGGACCGCATATTTATGAAAAAAAAGAAAACGCTGTGCACGTTGTGTGGAGGTGAGGCATGCTGCTTCGGAAACTACCGGTGTGTGGTGTGGGGTGTGATTCTCATGATGTGACTGCACTTAAACTTGGATATTCCAAGGTTTCGAGAAAGCTTCGCAATGATGCTCTCATTTAATTAAGCTGAAAGGGGACAAGCACATGCATGAGATGGTTGTGCTCACAGCATGGAACGGATACCAAGTCTATATATATCGTATATCTATTAACACGTTTCAAGCCGCCGTCGACCACAACGACCTGATAGCCGCATTTTTGAAGGCGATATCTGTCGTTCTTTTCGTTTGTTATTTCCATTTCATTCCATTAATTCTTCTGCATAATGCAGCTCTTTTTTCCAATTGCTTTGAGGGAGATTCAATTAAATTCCAGCCGATTAGGTCCCACGTCCTCATAGATCCCTAACAAGACTCCGCAAATCTGGCAACACATGCGCCGTCCCCAACGTGTTGAAGGCAGCCGTTCTGTGTACTCGTTCAGATCTTTTGAGTGAACCTGTTACTTACCCCCGAGAGGGCTACCGGTAACTCCAAAAGGGAATCAAACCGAACCTGACTGGTAAAACCAAGTATTAGTGACTAATTACTGAAACAAGGGCGTCACTGACAGAAACACATACTGTTAATCCTAATGACGACAGTACTATTGATCTTTTTTTCGAATCTAACCCTTTGAATTAACAAAATAAATAACCGATCATTAGGCACACAATTGGAAAATGAAAAAATCCCGAAAAGGATATGCAGATTACTGTATAGCTTCCGAAAAGCAGCTGTTCAATCAAACGCCGCTTTTCCGGCCACCTGACGGAGGAAGTCCTACTGTTTCTACCTAAGAGACCTTTCAACAATCTCAACTGGAATTTAAAAATCGGAAATCAGGCTTGGCGCTACTTTCAGCAGATGCTCGAATTCGGTAGCCAAAGCATCGCAGTAAGACAACTCTATTTCATTCTACAATTTTATCGCAATATCGCCATTTCTATTAGTCTTAGTCATTCCGTACATCAACAACAAAATCAACAATAAACAGCGAACAAACAACAATAGGAATAACAATCTCAGATGCATTCGTACTACAGTGATCAAAGCGCTATAAGACAGCACAACAGGTGATCTCAACGAGCTCTGTAGGCGCCTAATAAAGACTTCCATGAAACATCACAAGGAACAACAAGACAAGAATATCATCCATTGGTGAAACATAGGAAAAATCCAACAAAATTATTTTAAACAATTTTAATGACGTCCCCTTCCCCTTCCTGGACGTGACTTCTTTCCTCGACCTTTCGTCTTGTCCTTGCTCTTCATAGCACGAAGATCTTTCTTCATTCGGCTGAAAAATAAAAGTCTGATCAGGAACTTGAAAGACGATGGGAACAAAGATATACTCAATCTCATTTGATGTGAACTGAATTGGATTAAAATTAATTAATCAGGATTAAGAAGATTACGATTAAAAATTCAAAGCAGCAAAAAGAAAATTCTATACGCACCTGTCCACAAGCTTATACCGCCCATTAGGCCTTGAAATCTTTCCTTTCTTGCCCTTTGTCATCACTACCAACTCTGTCTTTTTATGGTCTTTCCGGTGAGCAGCAGCGTAGATCCTGGAATTGTTTTTGAACATGGTCATATTACTGATTTCGACAACAACTTACTTTTTCATCTCCCGAAGTTTCTCAGAGTGTTCAAGATTCTCATTCTCCAAAACTCCTTCGGCTTTTTTCTTTGCTGTCTGGAGACGTCGGAGAGCCCTTAATTGCATTAATTTCCAAGAAAGAAATAAAAGCGGTTGGCCTCAGGCAATGACTTTGAAAAGCGAGAATTTTCAGAAAGGACCGAAGTCGAATTGAACTATCCTAACGGCATGCATTAGGCTAGCAGAAAGTATGACGAAAAGTGTCTTAGAGCCGATCTTTCACGAGTGGTTGGTTGAGAAGTATAATACGAGTTGCAAGAATTCCACACAGGTTCAACCGAACAAACAGAAGATAAGTGGAAAGGAACAAACACTATGTTGACGTTGTAGTGAAGATAGTTTCCACAATATATCTGAACAAATTGGATTCTGATAGGGCTATCACTTACTTCTTCTTTTTCCGATCTTTCGCTTCTGCTACCTTTTTACATGGTCGAGCATTCAACTCTCTCAGCCTCTTTCGATATTCTTCCACTTTTCTACATAAAAAAACAAAGTAAAAAAAACCGGAAAATATTCGGAACTAAATAATTTAGATATTACTGGACTTTCGAGAAGATGTCTAGAAAAGAAAAAAAAAAACACCCACAAGATGGAAAAAGGTGATGTAGTGCGCAGCATCACCACTTACCTTGGTGACAGGTAGCTGCTTGCGATAATGTTTCTTTTCATCTTCCACAAACCAATCCGGAAGTCCTTCGTCATTGTTTGCGTATCTACAAAACATCAACCTATGACTGCAGCAAATAATTTTGACAGAGAACTCACCTATTCCAGCCCCATTCTTCCACTTCACGAGCTGATTTGCTTGAATATATCAACTGTTCTCCCAGGGCTAACTGCTCAGGTGTAAGACGACGCTTCTTCGCCTCTGAAATGTTTCAACTTCACCACTCATCAAAAGGTAAACCATAAACGGTAACACTCATTGGAATTGCTAGCAAACATACTCGGTTTCAAATCCTCGTCGAGTGGTGCCTTTGGAGCTTCACGTTTCGATGCCCGTTTGTCTTCTGGAGATGTAATATTCAGAAAACCACCACTTCAACACCTCTTTGTTCAAACACACCTTCTTCGACTTCTGCATCCTCCCAAGCCATTTCCGCTACGAATTTCGAATTAGGCTGAGTGTCGTTCCCATCAGCCACTTCCTCATCATCGGTTTCTTCATCTTCACCCTCGCTTCTTCCTCATCTTTCTTGTCGAATCCATCGGCATCATCGCGCATTTTCTTCTTCTTGGCAGACAATTTCTCATCGTCAAAGCTCACTAAGAATCAATAGCATAAAATTCATTAATTCGCAATATAACAATGTCTAGTAACCTGTATTAGCATGTATATTCTTGCTCTGTCGCTTCATGTGCTTCTCTATGACATCCAATTCGTCATCATCGTCTTCGTCAGACAACAAGCCAGCGATCTCTTCCTGGAAAAAATGGTCCGTTACTAGTGATTAAATAATAAATGTAACAAAAAAATGGTTGCTCTGATGGCAGGAAAATTTGCAGCTGACCTTCACAACTAAAAGAGGGGTAAGAGGACCAAAAATAGTTCTTCGATGTTTTATTTGCCAAGAATTCACCTTACTGAACCACTTATCAGCCCTGCTATCTTTCTTCTGTATCTTGCTCATCCCGCTTTCTTCAGTGTTGATTAGTTCATTGTCACTTTCGTCACTGGATTCCTCTTGCACTCCGCCATCAGAATCTTCGTTCTCCTCGTCAGACCTTGAAAGAGATCAAATGAGAACAATAAGCTAAAGTTCGCAATAAGTTTTAGCAAGCGTTAACGGTACGTAACATCGTACATCTCGAAAAAAATCGTAACCATGACAAAACGTACTTATCTCCACCTCTGGTCTCCCATTCTCCTTCGCCTAGCCCTTCCTCGTCATCCTTGTCGGGTCTTAGTTCTGGTGTTTGAACTGTGTCAGAGGTCAGCTGGTTTATTTCTCGAGCCTCAAAATGCATTCATGTTGAGAAAGAACAATTAAAACTTCTGACATCACTACCCAAAGCGCTAAATGCTGAAGGAGAACAACAGATGAACCTACTCTGCGGATCTTTTTCAAGCTGAAGAGCTCAATGTCTTCAACCTGATCAGCGTGATCTCCTTCTATGATCATCTTCAGCTGACGTCGTCTTACAATCTTTGCCTTCGCTTTCAGTAACTTCTTCTTTCGTCTAAAACGGATAGGACTTATGAAACACGACATATACTAAGGGAATGCTATGCGGACTTCTTCAGTGCTGCTCGTTCCTCCTCCGTTGCTCGTGCAATCATCTCATCAATCTCTGCCATCTCTTTGTCTCTGAAAATATTCATCGGAATTTTTTGCGTATGGGAAATTAAAGTTACAACAACAAAGTAAGAAGTAAACAAATAAATAAACAACAAGGAACTTACTCGAGTTCGTCTTCATTCAACTCCACTTCAGGCTGGGCCTCTTCACCAAGTTCTCTAAATAATTAAAGTATTACGTTTTTGATGTATTTAGATTGCACTCTTCGGATCAAATTCATCGAGACCACGGAACTCACTCTTCAAGAGCTTTGAGCTCCTGCTCAAGTATTGCCCTCATTGATTTTCTCCATTTTAACAGTTTTCGGAGTTCACGTGGACCGCAAACTTTCAGATCTTTCAAATATTCACGAATCTAAATGAACGTGTTTGGAATAAGACAGCCTTCAGGAGACGAATTAACACACCCCTACCTCTTCTGTTGTTTCTGGTGCGTTTTTCCACTTATCCTGATCCAGAACAATCTCACTGGCGCCACCCAGCAACTCCAAGTACTCCTGAAGCAATATTTGCTGAAGTCTTCCTTATATTTTGAACAAAGCATTAGTAATCGAGTATGCAGCATTGGTGAATCTCTTGTTAAAATGCGCCATGTGCTCTAAGAGTTGTAGTCGTACGTAAAGCGACTTTCCTTCGACAATGAACTAGCTTACGCCAATCAAAATCCGAACATTTTACTTTCAGCCATGTCCGGTAACGGTGAGGGGTTTCCTAGTCCGGAAAGCGGGTAACGTAAACGACTCATGCAAAGTATACTTCCGATAGTACTAAGATAGTGTGAAAGAACAACCGTAGCGCTTCCGCACTCCAATGGTTCAGAGAAATGGCACCAAACCAGGGGAATGGACATCTTCGCGCAGGCCTAAGAGAGGAAAGGTGGAAAACTAGTCAAAAATTGAATAGAATGTGGGCAGGAGATATGTGGGATATAGGCCACTGATCAGCCGTTATCAAAAGTAAAGTTCAAATGGGATATTCACGTTTATTTTATCCTTAGAGTTAGAGCCCACCCTACTACTTTAAAGTACGATGGAAGAGAAACAGAAGAGTGCCCCCCCCCCACAGGCAGCTTAAGCAGGCTAGGTTTTGCGGGATTTGACCCAGGAACTGAAATCGAGACTGTGCGAGCGTTTGAGATGCTACGTGCCCCCACTTCGCCTCTGACCTCTCGATAGTAATTTTAACTCAAGTTCGACATAACAGCCAAAAGTGCTTCTCAACAAGGTTCGAAAGAGATGAAACAAACAGAAAAAGGCTTACATGAGTCTGAATAAACGTAGTGGCATCAACTTTCTTATACACGGAGAGCATTCCCTCTTCGTATCCTTCAGCCCTAGCCTTCTTTTCCTTCTTTCCAACGAGAAGAGTCTGGCTAAACGGTGAAACATGAATTATGCATTCATAATAACTCCGTGTATACGCCCACATGCACTCACGGATTTTGTTTCTGCGCCTCATGACCATCGGGTTCCGAAAACACTTTCTTGTGATCGAGAAGCTCTGGCGCGACCTAAACTTTTCCGTTTAATCCCTTCTCCGAATTCAGAAGCCTTCAAAACCGCACCTTTGGTGGTTTCAAATATTTCTCGCAAACCACAAAAATCTCAGCAGACTCCAAACGTGAAGCAGCGGGCTTCCACACATGTACTTTTTTGAACAATTTCTCAAAAGTCGCAATCAAACACGAGTAATCGTTCGAGCGGAACACCTAAACAGAAACATGAATTGACAAGCGGACTACGCCAGGAAAATTCGTGAACGACTTACTTTAGTGACGAATGTACCGTTCTTGCGAAGTATTTGCGTGGCTAATCTCAGTGCCGACAAAACGAGACAGTTCTGTTGGAAGGCGTCATGCGCCCAGTTCAGACCAACATTGGGAGCACCATCGTGAAGTACGCAGTCAGCCTGAATACAAAAGCTAAATCTAAAGTCCCGTCTAAAATCTTGAGCCACCGAAAATGAAGAAATGCCATAACGTGGAAAAACTTGAAGTGGTCTAAGAGATCAGAATTGGGATGCCTTCCATTTTCCCTGACTGCTATCGATGGTATTCTACCCCTCAAGTAATCTCTGGAAGTCACCACGCATGCAAAAATGTCCTCGGAAAGCTCATTGCTACTGCAACTGCTTTGCAAATTGCAATTGCTTTTTTTCTGCTTGCGAGGGTGTTGAAGCCTTCGTTTGATGTACAATAATTCGATTTTAAAGGCTATGCGCCTTACACTATCCCGGGGAGGATCTCGATAGTCCCGGTCGGGTCATTCGTTCTCGAAGTTCTTCACACGGAGATTGCCCGAAAGTATGATGGAATAATTGAAAAATTGCAACAAGAAGCTTCTGATTGCGCTCTCACAAAAAATCAAACACTGCAGAGGCTTTTGAGGTTTTTATTGAGCGCTATAGAATTCACTGAGATGGAAATATTTAAAGTTTCGATTGATACGAATGATACTAAGGATCACAGCAACTGGATTCTGTATCTTTGCCAGCCCTATGATGTCAGGGATCACGCGACGATGGTGGTTCTACGCATCGAGAGAGCTACCCTTTCGTGGGCCCTATGTCTCCCGCAATGATTTTCCAACGCGAACATTTCCTCAGAAGAGAAAGGCTTGAAATGTATAGAATTGCCAGAGGAGTGAGGCTGCTGTCAGAGTGCGCGAATCGCGGGATCGCGAACTCTGACACCGACCTAACGTAGCATATAAGTGAACTTGCCGATGAAACAGAATAAGCAATAGAAACAACAAACCTCCCAGCGCTGTAACTCCTTCTTTATGGCCTGTCGGGTCTTCTCCGTTGTTATATCACCTTGTAAGGCGATACAGTTAGCAATCGGTTTTATTGGCACCAAATCAACTCCTGAAAGTTGAGATAATTGGAACATTAAGATTCGAGAAGACTGAGCAGCATGAAAGCCTGAAGAAAGATTGCTCAGAAAAGCAAACCTATGACAAGGCTGGAAACAGGCATGTTTTGAGCGGCGACTTGCATCCATCCTCCAGGAGCAGCACAAAGATCGACTGTTGCTCTAGCATTTTGCAAGAATTCGAATCTTTTATTTAACTGGATTAACTTGAAAGCGGCACGGGAACGAAATCCTGAAACAAGTTTCAAATGATATCCAAAACTGAGAGCAATAATGGAGGAAGAACTCCTCACCGGCTTCTTTAGCTAACTTATAGTACTTATCACGACGCTGTTTTCCTATTTTGACCTTTTTACCCATTGTGGCCTGCTTTGAGATTGTGCTTTTAAAATATCTGAAAATTCTGGCATTATTTACAAAGTGCATAATCTATAAAATGCACCGCGACGAACAGAGCCGACAAGATACCGCAGAATGAATGAATATGAACATGAAGGTTCTAGACTGAAAGGAAACTAGCGATGCAAACCACAACAGATTTTGGCCAGTTTCCCATAATATTTGAAGCATGATCTGTTAAAAGCGCTAACGATTTCCGTCACAAATTTTTGAGAAACACTTGCATAACACTGATTTGTAACTCCAATCTATTATCAGTGCTTCCCATACTTGAACAAAAAATTTTATTCTAACCTTGCTTCTATTTGATTCATGTTTCTACTGGACATTCCATCTAGTCGCGGAAGGAATATACGGAGAAA